CCCAATTTTGCCTTTGGTCACCGTTCAATACCCTGCCTCTATCATAGATCTATTCATCGCGCCAGAAGGGGGCGTTATTGCTTACTTTGAGAAACGCTGAGCTAAAATAAAAGTCAATGTGTTAGAAATATTCAAGTTGTGACCTTCAATAAAAAATAAAAAATATATAAAATGTCAACATTTTATATATATTCCGTCGAATTTTTATATATAGAATTTGTCTGCCGTCGCCCCTCTATATTTCCTTAACGCCCCCCAATTCTCTTTGAGCCTTCTACTGCCCTCTTGAAAGCCTCCAGCGCCCACAAGGGGGCGTTATCGCCCACTTTGAGAAACGCTGGTCTAACTAATGAGAAACGCGGTGATAAAAAACGCTATTGGCTTACACAATTAAGTAGTAAATATGTAAAATAAAAATTTTGGTTTCACTTTTATTGCAATGAAAAATTCGAATTTTTATTTTCGGCACGTTGCTAAATTTTCGAGCAGCAATTTTTGTAGAAAATTTTAAACTGAGCGCATGACATACGATAGATTGATATGATCTAAAATATGTATTATGAATTGAATATGAATATTTAATTTTATGTTTAATTCAAGTAGTCGTTAAACATTTAAACTAATCGTGAAAACATTGTACGAAATGCTTATAAAATTGTTAAAACTTTTAATCTATTGCAGAAACTTGTGAAACTGTTAGACAATATGAAAAATCTTGGAAACAGCATTGTGCGGATTTGAATGCAATATGTGAAATTAATGATGTTGGTAGGGCGACATGCAAATGCAGAACCGGTTTAGAATACAGAAATGATGCTTGCCAAGGTAAGTCGATTTTGCTGTGATATAAAAATTTGAATGTAGATTAAGTATAATCATTGCAGATATATATAAACATTATATGTTTCGTGGGCTGTACTATACACTATATACTATACTATATACTATATATGTACTATATACTATGAAATTTCGGGACTTTGAATAGTATCTGATCGTAAAGGACCGAGACAAGTTTAACAGTACCCTACTTTTGGACCAGAGACCAAAGATAAGAAAGTTATAATATTTACAATTTCTTGTTTTTCACAATGCATTCTACGTTGTTTTAGAGTTTTCCACTAGGTGGTGCTCGACTTTCGTGCTCCAGAAGGACCTCCCGGAGCAGGCCGCCGAATGTTTAACGTCACTAGTTTCACGGTAGTTCTTGAACAAAAGAAAAAAACAAAGTGGCGTTCGACTGTCGCAATTTCTTGATTTTCACTGTGGTTTTTAATGGTTTGCATATTTTAACGCTAGATGGCGGTACAACAATTATTTTTTCGTCTGCTTAAATTTTTTTCTATTTAGGTTAGGTTAGAAGACATACTATTTACTTTAGAAGAAGACCAGATATGAGTAACCGTATCCGTATGATGTTGTGCTTTACAAATGTGTGAATTTAATTATATATGTAATCGTACCTAGGGAAAACTATAAGCAGCGTCACCTATTGGAAAACTTTAAAATGGCATAGAATGCACTGTGAAAGGAAAGAAATCGAAAATATGATACCTTTCTTATTTTTGGTCTTTGGTCCTAAAGTAGGGTACCGTTAAACTCGTCTAAGTCTCGATTTCAGATATATACTGAAAGTTGCAAAATTCCATAAGGAGTAATCTGTATAATCCTTGTTTCGTGTTTTAATTAAAACATATTTCTACGATCATACCTAGCGCATAATATACAATGGACTGATATGTTGTGAAATATGTATTATAAATTCTATATAAATATTTAGTTTTATGTTTAGTTCATATAGTCATTAAACATTTAAACTAATTATGAAAACATTGTACAAAATGCCTATAAAATTACTAACTCGTATATAAATTTTAAAGTCCATTACGTACGTATCTTTTATGGAATCTGGGATATATGAATGGTAATCAATAGTTTTGTTCATGGTTTTTTATGTTTTAAACAAAAATGTATGTACTCCATTTGTAATCGTTATATCTAAATAATTTATTTGATTCTTCTTTTCTATTTCTATATGAAATTTTTTATCTTCATTAATATTATTTATTACATTTAAAATCATTTTATCATTAGTTATATTATTATTATATATAAATAAATAATCATCTACATAACGCATCACAATCTTTACCTCTGGGATGACATTTATTTTTTTTATCAATAATCATCATGGCTAATTCTGCTAATTTTGGCCCCAACTTTGACCCCATGGTAATGCGATTCTCTAAGTAATTTCTCGTATAAGCAAAATTTATAAGTTGTATTAACGATTTATCTACTTTCAGATGTCTAAGACTAATTTTTATTTGTTTCCACTTAATGTTTGGGTACATATTCCTAACATCAAGGATTATTAGTTTATCAGTTGTTTCCTTTTTTAATTTTTGAATATAGTTAATAACGTCATCAGCATTTTTTATGCTGTAATTGGAACTATCAATATTTTTCAATTGTTGTTGAATATATTGTTCTAAGTTATAAAGTATCGGCTTGACAGCTAAGTAGCCTGAAAAAAAGGTCAAATCGTCAAAAAGTTTGTTCTAAAACACGTAAAGTGAATAAATGGTGTTCACCATAAATTTCTTTGGACAGTCTGTCTCTTCGATTAAGCGTTCTCTACGACTCACCCATGGAGTTTTCGTATTAAAAAGGAAATAGCTGTACTTCGATTCCTGTTCTTGAATATAATCTTAAAACTTACAATATTTCAAAGAATTAGGTTTTATTGCGTTAAGTGATTTAACGACAGCTGACATAGCACGGTTGATATTAAATCCTTACGCGCACACATTTTTAAGTGCAAAAAACAATGACAAATGTAAAGCTTTAAAGACTGAACTTTTTCCATGACTTATTTACACTCAAGAATCAATTAGACTGCTCTAATATTTTTTTCTATCGTTGAAGGCGCCATCTGTGATGATTTTAATTAGATATAGTAATTTTAGTTCATGGTCATGCAAGCATTTAATAGCAGTTTCATATTTATTTTTTCGGTACTTGTGCCTTTCATACTCATAACATCCAGAAAATCTATGGTAACATTCACATCACTATAAAAATCGCTTAGAATAAAAACAACATGTTGAGACGTATCCTTTAATATCTGTTATTAATATCTGTTTTTATTCAAGGACAGTGAGAAATACACAAACGTGTTAAAGACCATGTTCAGTGTTAAACAAATTTTATTTGATCAAGTATCAATTCTTTGCGCTACAATATGATTTGTCAGGCTGATTGGACTGAAAATTTAGATTTCGAAAACAATTTATTCGGCTGCAGCAACAATGCATTTTTTGATATATTCATGATCGAAAGCAACAAGCTCGTGGTAATTATCAATGCGAAAATAATAAATTCAACACTTCTTTACTCGGTAAAATATATGTTAATTAGCAGAGATATCTGAACGGAACAACTGTATAAAAATGGCTAGTTTATTTTCAAAAAATTTAAGAAAAATAATAAAATCGTTTATCGTTCATCGGAAACACGAAACACCTTTGTAACTTAAGAATGTCTTTATTGTTTGACATTTATTACACATACAGTATTAAACAAATTTAAGTAACTATAATTTCATTATACCGAACCTTCAATTTAAAAACATTTGTTGTTGTAAACATAGTAATTAAATAAATACACATTCTGTATGTACTGTACGTACATTCATAATGCATTTAATACATTTCATGCTTTATTAATAAATATGCAAAACGTGCTTTGATTTTTGAGTGCACGTGATAAGGTGTCGTACATTATATTAATGTATTTAACTATACGTGCGACATTGTATTATAAGAAAAATTTATATATGATAATTACTGTTTTTTTTAAAAAAAGGCCCCACAATAACATTGAGTAAGCCGCGCGTTGAACATGGCAGATTTAAAAATTACATTTTTGTATGACAAATAGAATATATTGAAAAATAATTTCATTATTGTAAGATATTAAGAAAACAATAATAAACACACAAGTTCTTTTAACAATTAGAGGTAGCGAATGATGGAGAGATGTCTCCCACATTACACAAAAGCACACATCATTATGAAATACTATAATACGTTCGAATATGTTTAATGAGGTTTAGAATGGGTAAGATGATTGAATTAAAGCCACAACTATTGTGAGATCAGCCGAAAACGTACATCTTCGTCTACGCCGCTTACGGGCACTAGTCGGTAAGACCAGTCTCTGTCGTCCAAAGAACGGCCTTTCCCGAACGTAGGGAAACGAGTGGCGGAGGGTTTTATAGTTAAGTTAGAATTTAGGGCGGAAGTTGGTGATGGCGAATTCACCTTCTTCCTTATGTCAGGGTCCCGACACCAGTTTGTCAATTAATCGATCCGCGGACAAACACGCGTGCGATTATTTTATAGATCTAATTCAAAGACATTCTTTAACAAATAAACAAGAATAAATTTAATTAAAACATAAATCCATAAAAATAGTACAAATAATATGGTAGTAAAAGACAATGACTACAAATTACAACCTATAAGTCAAAAGATATATGGGCTTATATTTAATTAAAACGCGATCGAGCAAGAGAGCTCACAAAAACGTTATTAAACATACAACCTGTTTCAGTTGTCATTCGTCTTAATCGGTTGGCAAAGGCACTTCGTTTTTAAAGTTCTCAAACTTCATTCCATGGGATATCGATATGTGCACAAATTTAAAGTATATCTTCTATGTGCTAACTCTGGGATTATTCTATGTGACTCGTCTAAGGTCGTTGGCCATCAAAAGAAATATGTATGAAGTCCTGACTCTTCCAGGTCTGTCGATGAACTCTCGAATTCTGATAAATTTCCTCTATATGTGACGATCGGCAACCAATCATCATACAAAGATTCTTCCGTAGGAACGGACGGAAAAGAGAATATGTGAAGGGTAAACATTTCCCATCAAAGCGAGGTTTTTCGCAGATAAGAGTAAAACAGAAGATGTTCTAACTTCCCTGAAAGGAAGTAGCATCTGTTATCTATTTTTCCCACTCTAAAACGTTATTTTTTTCACCCAAACGAAAGAATATTTTATAACAAAATATTAACATTATTAATAAAATTACTATTTTAGACCCGGAGGCCTTTCAGATCTCACACTATCATACATTCTTAGTTATCATTTTTCGATCATCATTTCATCATTTTACATCTTGAAATATTTCAGTCTTCTTTCCTAACTAAAAATAGATTAAATATCACTTGCCATGTTATTATTTATTAAAACAGATTTATACTGATTAAGGTGTTTAAAAAGAAGATCTACGCTTAAGTCGATTTGAAAAGTGAGAACTATAATATATTCGCTGACATCAAATTTATTGAAATGTTCACAGTGTAACCATTTTTTAAATATTGATATTTGCAAAACTTGTATGTAAAAATAGGATGCGTAATGTGTTTTTATTCATAATTGTGTCTCTTGATAGATTAAGATTTAATTGATTTACAAAATCTAGTTTGATTGCCGTTAGTAATTTTATGTTGAGCGTTATACATGAAGACTTTTTTTATGTAAGTATACACGTTTAACAAGCAGAAGGTAGACCGATCAAACTATAACAACAGTCACCGATTCGAAACTGAATCAAGCGTGAAGAGATAAACGTTATGCATCGTCGATTTCTCACTGTGTTTGTGAGTGCTCAGTTTCAAAATTTTCAAACAGGGAAATCCTAATATTAAAGTAATGTATGCAACACGAAAAGAATCAGTCAAAGCGATTCTTTTATGAAGTAATTTAGATCTGATCGTCAGTTGTGCTAAATATAGTTATACTTAATTCATTTTTTACGCTAAATTTCTTTATTCACACTGTTATATAGATAAATTATTATTGAACTTATACTTTTTTCAATAGTGACCTTGTTGTAGACCTATAAAATCGCAAAAAATCTTTAAAGAATGAAGCTAAAAATTCAGCTAAGTTTATAATAAAGTGAATTTCTAAAATAAAGTATTGAAATATTGACAATTTAAAAATAATTATCACCTACGTGTATTATATGAATACAAGGTATATCTTAAAAGAAACAGTCTTTTGCATTGACTGAACACATAAAGTGTATTTGTCGCTTAACTTGTAAAAAACGTTATTATTTTTATAACCTAACTGACTTTTATTAATTAAAAATGTTAATGTTTCTAACGGAAGGCAAAATTAATGGTATTTGTGATATTTGTTACTTACAAAGTCTCGTCTATAGCCAGGACCATTTCACTTAAATTACATTACTTTATATATTATACAGTAATAAAAAACCAAAATAGTATTTATTATGTTGTAGTTATTAGGTATTAACTTATTGAACGTTGCTATGTTGTATCAAAGCTACGTGATTTTAGCTTTTTTCTGGATGTACTTATATGCAAAAACTTGATAGGTTTCTATTGAAACGAATGTGCTCTCAGTATACATCGGTTTTTTTGCATTGAAACATTTACTATTTGTCTAATTAATTAATTCACTAAATGATTGCGAACAGACAATGACCATTGTTTAAACCAGTGTAGTTCAATCAAGATTGTTTAATGGGACGAAGCCAAAAATATAAATACACTGCCGGCAGCACATATTTATTTACAACAAAACATGTACAGTTATTCAGTATTTTGTTGTGTTTTAAAGTAACTTGGTTTTCAATTTTTTCTGTAAATTTTTAAAAAATAAACAGGTATTTTTGAAGTTGTACAACATAGTTAGTTTATAAAGTGTTTATCTGTCAATCTGTTATGACTTTCACATTAACAATCTTCAATTGCGAGAAAAAATATTTACAAAGATAGTTGATATCCATTGAAGCTGTAATGCGATTGTTTTTAGGTTTAAGAATTTATTATTACAAACGTGTTCTGTATGAAACTGAACTTTGTCATCGGTCTAAAACATATATTTCAATTCAGAAAATGAGTGGAGATGTGTTAAATCGACCTGCAGCTTTGCTACAGCTTGTTTTTCAACAATGTTAAGTGGACTTATGAAAATATTAAGTATATTTTCATATTGTGAGATCCGAAAGGTTCTGGGTCTAATATATGAATTTTTATTGATAATATTAAATTATCGACACAAAATATTACTTCGTTTTTGTGAAAAAAACTGGTGTTTTAGACGTGGAAAAACCAGATAACAGATG